TGTACATCTTTCTAACTTGACACAGTATCATCTGTCAATTATTTGTCTGTATTTACTTACCTACTTACTTACTTACTTACTTGCTTGCTTATTACTTTTAGACAAGGTCTCGCCATGTAACTCCATCTGGCCTGAAACTTACTCCATAGAACAGATTTGTCTCAAACTACAGAGATCCCCCACCCCTGCCTCCTGAGTTCTGGGATTAAATACATGTACCTGGCCTTTTAAAAAAAAACAGTTTCCTCTTGTTGGGGGGAGGAGGGTACTCCTGCAATTGCACAAGTGTGGACTTGTGAGAGGACAACTTACAGGGGTCAGTTTCACTCTTTCCAGTATGTGGGTCCCCAGTCACCAGATTTAGTAGCAAACACTCACTGGTGGTTCGTTTTTTGGTAACTTGACACACAGCAGACTCACTCGGGAAGAAAGAAAGTCATCTGGAAAATTGCCTCCGTCCAGTTATCTTGTGAGCAAGTCTGTGCAGCATTTTCTTGATTGATGATTGATGTGGGAGGGTCTAGCTTACTGTGGGCAGAGCCACACTGCCACACACACCCCCACTCCACCCCACCCGCAGCCCCCAACCCCCTCAGTGCTCCTAGACCAAGCTGATCAACCTACAGAAAGCAAGCCGGTAAGCAGCACCGCTCCCTTGGGGGTCTCTGCTTCAGTTCCTCATGTCCCTGGGCAATGGAGCCTGACCTGAGAGTTGCCAAGCTGAAATAAACCCTTTCCTCGCCACACTAATGGTCGTGGTGTGTTACCACAGCGTTGCTCTTGCTGGTCAAGGTTGCTTCTGCAGTTCAGGGTCATTTGGGTTTCTGAGTGGATTTTGTCTTTTTCTACTTTTGTGAAGAATGACAGAAATTTTGATGAAAATTGTGTCGAATCAATAAGTTCTTTTGTAATAAGACTTCTTTCATAATCTTAATTCTGACAATTCATGAACATGGGAGATCTTTATACCTTCTAGTATTGTCTTCGATGTTCTACCAAAAAGCATCTTTGGCATTAATATAGCTACTGAGCTGGAAAGATGGCCCAGCGGTTAAGTGTAGGACCTGAAGGGCTGCCATGCCCTGGCTGAGACTTTCTTTGCGCTACTGTCTACTAAGTAACATTCTGCAGTTTTTCTAAGATCAAAACATCCTGATGTAGGCATGGTACCCCAGGAAGGGATTTACACTTGACAGCCCATTGCCCCTCAGCTGAGTACCTGTTTGTGTTTTTCCTTCCCTGGCTTGGTGTATATATATTGAACCTGCTCAGTAAAAGCTTTGGCATTCTCTCATAACAAATGACCCGAGTCTGTGTCTTCCTTTAATTCCCCAAGACCTACACCTGAGAGCTGGTGCTGTCAGTTAAGAGCACTGACTGCTCTTCCAGAGGAACTGGGTTCAATTCCCAGCACCTACATGACAGCTCACAACTGTCTATAACTCCAAGATCTGACACCCTCACATGACATACATGAAGGCAAACTACCAATGCAGATAAAAATAGGTAAATTATAATAAAGAAAGAAAGAAAAAGAATAAATGAATAAGTAAGAGATATGACTACTGCAGTGCCTATTAGCATAGCAAAGCTCATGCTGGTTTCCAAGTATTAGTATCACAAGTCCCTGTTACACATTTCACAGTTCAGGCTGGATTCCTAACCCTTCTCACCTCCCCGACCCTAACTCCCTCCAGCTCATGGCTCCCCTCCCCCAGCCACTCAGTTCTCCCTAGAACTCTGCAACTCTTGCTATGTTTTTTCTCTGTGTGCTCTGCTCCTTCCTCTCACAATGTGTTCTCTGTTCTCTGACCTCTGCTGGTCTTTCTTCCCTTTCTCACAGACAACCCTGGCCATGTCCAGTTTACTCCCTTCTCTCTGATCTAGATTTTTCCAGATGCCTGTGGCTGGCTTCCCTCTCATATCTACAATAAAAACCTTCCCCTTAAGCATGTCATGGAGTAGTCAAGTCATCAGTGTATACAAAACCCATAGAGGGAGGAGAGAACTGACTCTCTGGTCTCTCTATGTGCACTGTGGCACCCTCAAACGCATACATGCATATTCTTGTGTGTGCACACACAATTCAATAAATAAAAATGTAATTTAAAACAACAATAACAAGGTAAGTCTGACCATGGTGGCTCCACCCTCTAATCCCAGCCCTTGAGAAATAGAGGCAGGAGGATTAAGAGTGCAAAGTCGTTCTCATCCACATAGTGAGGTCAAGGCCAATGTGGGCTATGTGAGACTTGGTCTTAAAGAAAACAAAGGTAATAAACCAGGATGGTCAGACAGAGGCTATGGGTGATGGCTTGTCATAGAAAAGCCAGGATGTATAATTGGGTGCCTCCCATGATGGGGGTTCCTACTTGTGAGCAGGCGATTTGAGGTAAGTTGTTTCATCTTTGTGTGACTCCATAAAATGGGGGACAATGATACATAACTAGGTACTGTTAAACAAATGCGTGGGCACACACAAGAATCTCAGTGAGGGGCTGTAGGGATGGTGGACAGCTGGCATCACTTGTTGATCTTCCAGAGATCATGAGTGTGAGATCATACTAGCAATCATCTGTAACTCCAGCTCCAAAGGGCCCGATGCCCTCTTCCTCCGTGAGCCAATCATGTATATATATATCACAATTGAGTGCACACACACGTGCACGCATACACCCAATGAGATGTTAAAAAATAGTTTTAAAGAGTCTCAGCACAGACTTAAAAAGGTTCTTGGCACACAGCCAGCCAGGGACTGCTGGCTGCCCTGATTCCAGAGGCAGCATCTAGAAAGCAAAGCAGTGCCTTTCCTAGGGCGGGGCCTTTCCTAGGGCGGGGCCTTTCCTAGGGCGGGGTCTGCCAAGGCTTTCTCCCCACACTAAAAGATTCTTCCCATTTAAAAGTCCCATGCCACACTTATTTGGAAATTTTATTCTTTTTATTGCAAATCTCTGGTAAAGGAAAAGACAGGGCAGCTGATTCTCCTTTAAACTTTGTCGAGAAGAGTACTCCATTGTCTCCGCTGGATGGATGGGGGAGCGATTAGGGGTGTGACACATACTGGTAGGTGCTGGTGACTGCCTCCCAGATGCTCTGACTTAATTGGTCAGGAGGTTGCTCTTTAAACTCCCCAAGTGACCCCAAGCAGCCAAGGTGGAGGGTCTCTGCCACAGTTTCTCATCACATGGGTAGGCAACATCTTGAATACCTGGCAGTATCCTCAGCAGCTGTGTCACCTGCTTTCATCACCTGCTAGGCCAGGGTCAGTAGGTATCCCCTGTCCCCTCTTCCCAAGTGTCCTGTGTGCTTATTCCCCTTTAGAGTCCCCAGGGGACAGAGACACTGAGGGGGCGTGGCTCTGTCCTGAGGCTTGTGCTTAATCACTCAATAAAACATGGCTAGCCTAGCACATAGGGACAAAAGAAATCACACTGTCTGGTTACAGACCATCATTGACTTCTCCTAGGTAGGCAGATCTTCCTGTCTGGGGATGAAAAGATGTGTAGGGAGATAAAGAAATGCAGGATGGATACACATTCCTCTGATAACCTCTCATGTCTCCAAACTAAAATCAAAGTTTTCAAGCTCCCAAGAGTAGAATATTAGGTACTTTAGCAGCATATCTTACATGGGTCAACAGTAAGCGCCAGGTAGAATCTCATTGTAGTTTATTCTAGAAATAGAAAACACTTTTGATTTTCCTGAGTCCTTGCAGATGAGAAAGGAAAGGATGGAGTTTTGTTCTTGGAACTTTTAAGTGTTCTCGCTCTTTCTCCCGGGGTACCCTCACTTTAACACAGAGTGTCTTCTGTTGTTCTGGCACGCACACACAGGCGTGCAAACACACGGGATCAAGTCTTCAATGACTCCAATGTGGCGACTGAAAATAAAACACCTGCAAAGGTGCCGGGACATTGTCTCTTCTAGGTATTACAAACGTAGTCGGCTTTGACTCTCTGTCCATACAAAGCTGTGTGTAGCTATTCCATGAAGGATGCTGAATTTGGCCCATCATGACAATGATGAAATTGTCAGGATGCTTAAAAAATACATAGGATCCCAGTTTTACATCACAACCCTGATGTGTTTACCACACTGTCTATTTTTTCTAAATTTCTTTTTTACAGAGGACAGTACAGAGACGTGATAGAAACCAAGGCACAGATATACAACAAAGGTCTATAACCCCTAGCACTTAGTGCCTGTTTAGGGAACATTTAGGTAAATCGTAAAGTCTGAAAAATTCTCACATTCATTACAATTGATGAACAATTACCTGTGCAATAAACAGACTGCTTAACCACTATCCCATTATTAAATATATGGCTATCACTACACAGACTGTGAGTGGCTTCAAAAATAGCTTTAAAGAGTAAAAGCCGGTACCTCTAGGTGGATATAAATATTGTGCCTTGTAGGATCTAGATAAATGTTGCAAGTTTCCACTTAATTTGTAATCTGTATGGCATTTATCAATTTTAAAAAACTATTTTCATTATATAAATGGCAGGTTTTTTTCTCCCAGTGTTAAACCTCTTCTCTACAAAAGACAGGTGATTTACAAAAAGTAACCCAACATTACAAAACAAAAAAATAAAAAAAACAATGCATAAACAACAATAGTACAATCCAGATGTGGACTTACAGTTGAACTCTAATCTACCAGGGCATTCTCTTAATGTAGGGTGAGGGGCAATACATACCTGTAGCAACTCATTCACTTCTTAATAAAAAAAAAAAAAAAAACTTACCATGGCAGGTTTTTTGTTGTTGTTGTTGTTGTTTCAAAATAGTAGTGTTGGCTAGAGCATCAAGCATTGAAAATAAATTCTTTTCATTCATAAAAGCCTTTCAAAATCTAAGGGAATAGGGCTCAACTGCACTTAGGGAAATAACGTTGTAAAAACTGTATTTAAGATTTTAAATAAAGGGGTTTTCAAGACTGAAGGTAACTGTTTAGACCCATGAGAGCGCATTTCTTGGCACATGCACACCCTGGATGGCTGCAGAGCTGTCTGGCTCTTCGACCCGTGGCTGTCTCCTGTCAGGTGCTTGTCCCAGCCCTCTTCACATGGAAGTCTCCGGCTTCTGCATCTGCTGGATCTGCTTCTGCAGCTGATCCCTGTCCAGCTTCATCTTGGCCTCCAGGACTTGTCTGAGGGATCCTATGCTCTCGTAGATGGCTGTAAACCCTGTGGAAGAGGCAAATGTCACAGGAGTTAACAGCTAAGGAGCAGTGTCTTCCAGCTTCCACAGCAACTGTAATGGTTGGTTCTGACAAATGCTGAACCCTCCAGGGACCAACGCTGGATGGGGACCTCCCTGAAAACTGCTTTTTTAATTACAAAGGTGTCTGTTGTAGTCAAGAGAAACAGTAGATGCAGCTTTAGCCAAGTGACCAAAGCTCACACCACTATCACCAGGAGAAATCACACCATGTCCCTGCTGATCAGATGGCCGGAGCAGGGTGTCCATCCATCCCAAAGCATCTCTGTTCTAGGTTATATCATAAGGAAATAATCAAACCCCAACTGAGGAACTTTCTTCAGAACACTGCCCTGTAGTCTAATGTGCCAGGTTCAGGGGTTTCTGGGGTCAAGAGCACACCGGGCACTTAGACCTCTGCTTCTGTGACAGTGGCTCTCAACCTTCCCAATGCTGTGACCTTTAATACAGTTCTTCCTAATGTGGTTGATGACTCCCAACCATATCATTATTTTGTTGCTACTTCATAACTAATTTTGCTACTGCTATGAATTGAATCGTAATATCTACAGAGTGAGTTCCAGGACAGCCAGGGCTGTTTCACACAAGAAACCCTGTCTCAAAAAACAAAACAAGACAAAACAAACAAACAAACAAAACAAGAAACAAAACCAACCAAACAAAAAGAGCAAAATACATAGACTGAGATCTAATACACATGGTGAGGGAAATTCTAATACATTGTCTTTGGATCTTAAATGAAAGAGTTGACTCAAGATACACATGAACACCCATTAGCATACATATACATAAGTACACACACACAAGCAGACACATGTGTATAACACACACAACATACACAAACATACATGCACCCCCGTGTGAGATGATAGGTTAATTTGCATGAACATAGTAACTACTTAGTTATGTACATCAAAAAGTAAACCTTAAATATACAATTTTTTTAATTTAAAAAAACAATTGAGGACCAGAGAGATGTGTCAGTGGCTAATTTTGTGTCAACTCGACATAAGCTAGAGTCAGCAGAGAGGAGGGAACCTCAGTTGAGAAAATGCCTGTATAAAATTAGGCTGTAGGCAAGCCAAAAGGTGTTTTCTTAATTAGTGATTGATCAGGAGGGCCAAGCCCATTCTGGGTAGTGCTATCCCTAGGCTGACAGTCCTGAGTTCTTTAAGAAAGCAGGGCAAGCAAGCCATGAAGAATAAGCTACTAAGCAGCACGCCCTCCCCCCTGGCCTCTGCATCAGTTCCTGTCTCCGGGTTCCTTCTTTGCTTGAGTGTGTGCCCTGACTTCCTTCTATAATGACCTGTGATATGGGGATGTATGCCAAAGAAACTCTTCCCTCCCCACCTTGTTCTGGATGGTGGTGCTTCATCGCAGGACTGTAGCCCTAACTAGGACAGTGGCTAAGAACACTCTACTGCTCTATCAGGGGACTGAAGTTCAGAGCCCCACATAAGGTGGCTCACAAAAGCCTGCACACACACACACACACACACACACACACACACACACACACACACGTCTCATGTGGAAAGGGGCTGGAATAAATCTTTTAAATGAAATTTTGATTATGAAAAAAGGTTTTAAAAAAAGAAGCCATCTCTACCAAAGAAGAATTTCAAATTATTCTGTTTATTTTTACTGATTTTTAAAATTAAGGGTTTTGTAATGATTTTGTCTCAGAAAATTTTATATGACAATTTAAGAAAAAGTATAAAGATTATTAATTTAAAAAAACATTTTGATTGGAGCTGGCGAGATGGCTCAGTGAGTAAAGACACTTGCTGCCAAGCCTGAGGACGTAAGTCCCATCCCTGGGCTCCACAGAACTGACTGGATACACACGTGCTGTGTGCATTCAGCCAGTGGTGCAGAAGAAGCTCTCAGAAGTCCCTCGTGCGCACATTGACCTTGGCCACAAACAGAAAGAAACCAGCAGGTAGCACTAATAACAATGCCAGTCGTGAGCAGGTTAAGCTTTGTGTTCACTGTGTGTCGTGGAGGCACTTCATAGACTTGCAATTGAACTAGTACTTTAGGCCTGGGAGTATAGTTCACTGGTAGCCTGCTTGCCTAGCAACTGTGAGGTCCTGAGTTCAATTTCCACCACTGCAATAAGTAAATAAGTAAATGAATTTGTTAAATTACTGCACAGCTACTTAGAAAAGCAACTAAGAACACTTTGAACAGTTTGCTGACTTTTTTTTTTTTTGAGCCAGCTCAGACTCAGTTTGAGAGGAGATCTCAGTGAATAGCTTTAGATAAGCAAGCCACATGGGCTGTGGGGTCTGGCCTACCAGCGTTAACCTCTGCTTTCATCTCCTTCATGTCCTCGGTCATCTGTAACTCCAGTTTGCTGATTCGCCCGTGCACCTTCTCCTCTTCAGGCTTTCTCTGTCCTTCCGTGTTCCTCTTCTGACTCTCTTCGATTTTGTCCAGTCTGGCTGACATCTGGCTGAGTTTCTTCTCCACGTCTCTTTCACTGGCTCCCTGGGGTCCAGGAGAAGAATTACACGTGGTTATCGCAAAAGAAGAGTGTGCACCTTGTCTCCTATCAGCCGTAGTACTTAACCATCTGAGGGACCAGAATCACAGTGGCTTCTTGTTGTGCATCCTGTATCCATTCTCAGAGGTCACCCAGAGTAAAAAAATCTACATTTTATTCTGTCTCCTGAGTGTGGTTTGGGAATGTAATCTAGCCAACGAAGTATAAGAACAAGCGTATATAACTGCTTTCAGAAAAAGTTAAAGGACACTTGCTATATATCCTTAATTCTTTCCCCTTCCCTTCTGTTTCTACCATCCAGTCAATGGCTGGAGCTCAACCATCTTGAATCATGGTGACAAGTGCTACTCTCTCAGGTGGGCAGAAATATAACCTAAAAGGATTTCAAGTAACCAAAAACTGACAAGTTCTCAACTCATCTGGGTCCCAAGAATGCATACCTGGATGTGTTTCAGTGAGAAAGAAGGAAGCTTCCATCTTAGAGGAGCCACCATTACTATGGAGTTTACTGTTGGCGTAAGCCAATATGAAAACCAAATGGTCAGTCACAGACTCAGAACTCCACAAACATGTCAGGGTGTGTCAAGGCACAGCAAAGAATACAACTGGGGGTGGGCAGGATTCAAAGTAGTGCGGTCCACTATGCCTATGCTTTATGAAACTCTGCATCCACAGGCTTTAGAGGCCAAAACTATGAGCATCAAGCCTTTCATCAGGTACGAATTTGTGACATGATCCTGTGATGACATTGATGCAGAGCCTGCAACTCAACAAATGGCTCAGCATCAGGACCTAGCAGTCAGGCAAACCACACCGGCCACTTCTGCTCAGTCAAAGCCCCACGGGAGGAAGCCGAAGCCAGACAAGAAAAGAGAACCCAACACAATTTTGCCTACCTAGCACTGGCTTCCAAGCCTGCTGGTTTAAAGTGTGATCAATGAAAGGCTTTTTTAAGATTTTTTTTGGTAGTTCTGCAAAAGTTAGCTCTTTGAGAGAGCGGGTGGAAGCAGAGTTAGACAGATGGTGGATTCTGATCTGATGCCCTGGCAGGAAAGGCACACTCATGTTACATTGGAAAGGGCCTGGAGGGACAGAAAGCCACTCAACACTGGTGAAAGCAAACACTAGATCACAACATTAGAAACAAACAGAAAATGGGCCACGTGACTCAGCAGTGAAGAGTACTGGGGGCTCTACCACAAGACCTGGATTCAGTACCCACATGGCAGCCCAACTGTCTGCAACTCCAGTTCCACAGGAGCATCACACCCAACACCCACACACAGAAGACATACAGGCAGACAAATGCATATGAAATAAAAATAAATAAATCATTATAAATTAAAACAGAAAAACAGGATCAAGTAAGTAATTGTAGCTTTATTTAGAAATGTGTGATAGATAATCAGGATCATTAAGGTTGTGCCTTGAAACATTAACTCAAAATTTTAGTTAGTCTTTTGTTAACCAATATAAAACAAAGCACTTCCTGTCTTTATTAAGAATATGAAGAACAGGGAATGGGGGTGGGATGGCTGGGTGGCAAAGTTCAAAATTAGCAAATATGATGGTTAGTGTTAATTGTAACAGAATTTAGGATTAACTGGGAGCCAGGTCTCTGGACATGACTGTGGGGAATTATTTTTATTTGCTTGAGGTGGACAGACCCAACCATTGTGGGTGGCTTCATTCCCTGGCTGGAATCCTAAGCTGTGTAAGTGGGGAAGAGAGCTGAGCACTGTGGTCTGTATGCATCCCTCTCTGCTCATGGAAACAGCATGACGAGCTATGTTACGCACCTGCTACCTTTCTCCCTCCATGATGACGTGCACCCTTCAACAATGAGCCACAATAAACTTTTTCTTCCTTAAGTTGCTTTTTTAAAAAAGATTTATTTATTTATTTATTTATTTATTTATTTATTTATTTATCTTATGTATATAAGTACACTGTAGCTGCCTTCAGACACATAAGATCCCATTACAGATGGTTGTGAGCCACCATGTGGTTGCCGGGTATTGAACTCAGGACTTCTGGAAGAGTAATCAGTGCTCTTAACTTCTGAGCCATCTTTCCAGCCCTTTAAGTTGCTTTTGTGAAAGTATTTTCTCATAGCAACAAGAAAAGAAACTAAGATAACAGAGAACTTGGGTTCGATGCCCAGAACAAAGGAAAGAAGAGAAAGAGAAGGGGGACACAGGAAAGGAAGAAAAAGGAAAGGAGAAAAGGGAAATGGGAAGAAACATGGAAATTACTCAAAGGCAGGAATAACTGAACAGCTTCGGGAGGTACCAAGTAAATGAGAGCCAGTCCCTAGGTGTTGGTCAGACACTGCAGGCTGCCACTGAGTACCTGCTATTGAAAAACTTCAACACCTACACTGTTTTCCTTAACAATCAAGGAAAGATGTTCGATTTTCTGTAAAAGTTCTTTCTCTATCCGTTCCTGTTCTTGTTGCAGCCAACTCCGCGCAGATAAAATCTGGTTGCTCAGCTCCTCGACTGTACCTTTAAATCTAAAATGTTAAAAAAGAAAGAAAAGAAGAGGTGTGCAAACAAGTTGAATATAAAACAGTTTTAAATAACATTAAACAATATCAATTCAACAGGAATGGAATACTTACTTTCTCTTAGGATCGCATTTAACATGAAGTTGGTGCAGGATGGAAGCGAGCAACAGAAAAGCACCTAGTGACACTCCTAGCCATAGGGACCGGCAAAGCAGGTACTGAGGTGAAACAGCAGATGCCAGGGGACAATCTCTGCCATTCTAAGTGTCCATGGTACTCCTTGCTCAGAGGACATATCATCCTCCATCTCCTTTTCAGAATCCTCTCCCTTCATATACTCTTCCTCCTTGCCTCGTGTATCTCTCAGGACTAGTGGCTGGCTTCCATTCTTTCTCTTGTTTTCTATTGTTCTTTCTCCATATGAACATAGCCTAATCTAATCCAGTAGGAAATAAACCAGGCATAATGGAGCAGGCCTGCAATCCCGGCCAACACTTGGAAGACAGAGCCAGGAGGATTCAAAGTTAAAGGTCATAGTGAATTCATAGTAGCTTGATCTACTTGAAACTTTGTCTCAAAAGAAAGTACCCTTACAATATCCATTCCTCTAGTCTCCTCCCCTCCAGAATCCTTAAAATAACTATCAATGAATGCTGCTTTCCTTAATCACCTTCTTATTTGTATTAGCATGTAATGAAACTATAGAATATAGATATACAAATATGCATAGAGGTATAATAGACATAGAAGTGTGATTTAAATAATAAAAAACACCTATTAGAGTCACTAAAATGTCTATTTTTTGTTTTTGTACATAAAAAGTCTTCATATGTCACTGGAGTACATGGCTGTCTAGCTAGAGACCACATTTACTAGCCTCCCTTGCAGCTAGGTATATATAATGGTTAATCTTCTGTGTCATCTAGGAGCATTATGTGAGGGTATTTCCAGAAGAAATGAATGAAGAGGGAAGACACACTCTCATGGACTGGGGTCCCATGAATAAAAAAAAAAAAAAGAGGAAGAAGCAGACTGAGTACCAGCATTCATCTTTCAACCTCTGACTATAGATGCAATGTGACTAGCCATCCTGTGCTCCTGCTACCTCATGTTCATCACCATGGTGGATGGTATTCCCTCAAACTGTGAGCCAAACTGTCCTCTTCATTACTTGAGTTGCCTTTGTCAGGTCACAGCAATGAGAAATGTAATTCAGTGCATCAGTAAGTCAGGTGATTGGCAGAACATGAAGGAGAGAAGTACATGGTTCTGCTTACATCCTTCAAAACACAGCTGTTGCCCTGGATTTTCCCTCTGTAGCAGCTGGGGAAGAGCAAGGACTGGAGCTGTAGAGGCTCCACACTGAGTCATCAGAGCTGCCCTGTCTGTCCTGGAACACTGACCACACAACATAGGCAACATGTGGTAACCAAACTAATACAGCTATCCATACAGCTCAAGACACTGGCTACCACCAGGACTTAGAAGACCCAAGTACAGCCCAGCCACACCCACACATCACAAAGTAAGCATTGCCAGAACGCTATTCTGTGCCTTCCTCTCACAGGATTCTAGTGAATGTCAGGCTTGCCTGAATGACCCACCCATTTAAAAACCTTCTTAAGGGAGCTGGGGAAAAGGGCTCATTGGGTTAAAAACTTTGCAGTGCACACATGAGGACCTGAGTTCAGATCCTCAGAACCCATGTAAAGCCAGAGGTGGTCTATAATTCCAGCACTCCTATGGTAAGAGGGGAAGCAGACAGGAAACCCTGGAAGCTCTCAGGCTGGGCTGGCGTACACAGTGGTGAACAACCAAAAACCCTCTCTCAAACAAAGTGAGAGATAAGAGCTAACACCCAAGGTTATAGTCTGACTTTAACATGCCTACCATGGTGTGTGCATCTCTGCATGTACACACACATGTACATATAGAAAGATCTTTTAAAAGGCTTTCATTTTCTTATACTGGGGATTGAAGCTATGACCTTGGTCATGCTAGCCAAGCACTTTGCTCTTGGGCTATATTCCCAGTTGAAGACACTGAAGCACACTTGCCAAGTTTATTTTATCCCTAAAAGTTAAACATATTCACATGGAGAATTTTGGGGAGCCATTATTTAATGTAACATAACCACAGGGATAGGTATCCTCCCCGAAGCACCACTGATAATAAATAACACAGAGTGCTCTACCTAAGCCCTTATCCAACGCTTGGCCATCAGCTCCCTTAACTGTAGACTCTTCAGGACTAAGAACAAGGTCTGTTTTGGTTTGGTTTTTCTTCATTATTAGACCCAGAGTCTTTAGGCAAGTGCTCCACAAATACATACGAGTGGCCAGGAAGATGACTCAGTGGATAAAGTGCTTGCTGCCCAAACCTGAGGACCTGAGTCTGGATGCCCAGAACCCATGTAAAAAGCTAGGCAAGATGGCTTGCATCTATAATCCCAGCACTGGGGATATGGAAAGACAAATTTATTGGCCAGCTAATCTAACAGAATCAGTGAGAGACTCTGGTTCTAAAATAAAATAAAATAAAATAAAATAAAATAAAATAAAACAAAATAAATGAGGTGAGGAGAGGTAGAGGAAGCTGCACAATGTTGTTCCTCCCCTCCACACACCCATGCACTCATGGACACACTCAACTCACCCCTGCACATTTACACACATGCACATACACATATACACACCAAAATACAACCAATGAACCAAACACACATTGAATGAAAAGATGAGCTATCATCTAACCCTAGAAGCAATCATTATGAAGGAAAGGTGACTGTGTGCCACATGGAAACTGTTTCCTTTAGCTTTCGTTATTATTTTCACTCTGTGTGATAAGTAAAAACGGCAGAGGAGATGGCTCAGCAAGAGTCCTTGCTGCTCTTCCAGAGGACAAGAGCTCTGTTCCCAGAACCCATATCTGGCTGTTCACAACCACCTCTACTCCAGCTCCAGGGGATCCAACACCCTCTTCTGGACTCTGTAGGCACTGCACTCATGTGCACATATTTACACAGACATAAATAAAACTAAATATTTAAAACAGACAACATTTAGACATATTTTTAAATAAAAGCAAGAGGAAGAAAATGTGAATTTAATGAACTCAGAAAGAACGTGACAAAACCCTTTACAAACTGGTGGCTTACTTAGTGTCCAGGAGCTGGAGCTGGTGGTTGCTGTCTCTGTGGGACATCTTCAGTTTGGTGCTCTGCTCTGAGATGGACAAGTCTACTCTGTTCAAAAGCTGAGAAATCTGGAAAAGAAGATTGAATTATAAAGGCCTCACACCATGTCTTCATGGGCCATCTCAGAAAACACTTCCTATGCTCAATGCTGGTTAGTAGCATTAAGAGTCACTTCACTAAGTCCGTTTAGGACTTCCTTTCATCTCTCTACGTATGTCTGTGTGTGTGTATGTGTGTGTGTGTGTGTATGTTTGTTTATATGTCTTTCTGTGTGTGAGTGTCTGTGTCTCTGTGTGTGTCTATGTCTCTCTGTATGTGAGTGTATCTGTGTATGTGTCTCTGTGTGTGAGTATCTGTGTGTCTGTGTGTATATGCAGGTGCATGTGCACACAGGTGCATATGAAGGCCAGAGGTTAACAGGAGTTTTCTTCCTCAATCACTCTCCACCTAATATTTTGAGGCAGGGTCCTCTCATTGAACATGGAGCTCACCTACTGGCTAGAATAGCTGGCTAATAAGATCTAAGGATCACCTGTCTTCTCCCCCACCCAGTGCAGAGTGTATCACAATATCCAGCTTTTAAAACATTTTTTTTAGATTATTTTATGTGCATGAGTGTTTGCCTAAATGCATGTATGTGCATCATGTGTGTATCTTGTGTCTGCAGAGGTCAGAAGAGGGCATTGGATTCCCTGGGACTGGAGTTATGACTGTGAGCTACTCAATGAGTACTGGAAACTGAACTCAGATCCTCTGGAAAAACAAGTGCTCTTAACTGCTGAGCCATCTCTCCAGCCCACACAGTGCCTAGCTTTTAATTGGGTGCTGCAGATCCAGGCTCTTGTGCTGGTACCCATGGGAGCTTTAACCCTTACACCATCTCCCTAGGGCTCTTTAACTCTTATGCCATCTACATAGCCACTGCCTTTATTTTCTTTCTTACACACCCAGCAAAAATCAAAACAAGGGGCACTGCCAAAATAGTCATCAGAAGTGAGTCTAAACTTCAGAGCTCTCTAATGAGCAAGCCCAGCTCCTGCCCTGGGCTAGTACCTCTACCAGCTGTCACGGTACACAGCCATCATGACCTTGGACTTCCGCCATCACAGTGGCTGCCAGTCCTAGAGGGCAGAATTTCTATGGCTTACAAACAAACCAAGGTTCCAGATGTACCTTCTCATCAAGCAAAGCCCCAAAGAAGATTCTCTGTGGGTTACAGCCCTCCAGTCCTCCACTCCTGGCCTTTGTTTTTATTTGGGTTTTATTTTCACCAAAGCTCAATGTTAAATAGTCCTGTATGAGATGATCTCATTTTCTGAAAAGTTAGGTGTTGTTCAACATTCCTGACTAAAGGTTCATGATATTTGTAAGCTGTGGATCTTCACCTTCTTCATCATCACATCTCTTTTGGTAGATTTCTGTATTGTACTCACCTTAGCCACCAGGAAGCCTTTCCCCCCACTTTTGTAATAATCTCATTTTCACTCCCACAGACTCTGCACACTAGGAGACTGTAGTGACAATTTTAGAGTTTTGGTTTCTTTGAAAAAACACAGTAATATTACAAGAATATTACTATTGTTTTCATCTTAGTCCCAGGTGTGGGATACCGGGCTGCTCTAAGTTCTTCACAGCAGCTGACTATGATTTGCCTCATGCTGTAGCAGGGGTGTGACTTTGTCAGCTGAGATAGTTTCTTCGATTGTGTGACATCAAAATTCTGGGGACTTTTCAAAGGGAATATAAATGTTAGGGCTCTGAGAGGTAGGCTAGGTTGTTGTTCGTTTGTTATGGTTTGTTAAGTGGTCATGCACAAAGAAGAAACAAGTCAAAGAAGAAATGAGAACCTGACAGTGAGATCAAACTTGCCCCAGGAACTCCACGCCTATAATCGGCAGGAAGTAGTCTAATGATAATGTCAGTCCCTGACTTTGCTCAGGGATCTCTTTCCTTTCTCCTCTATCCACTTTTCTCTCGTAGCTAGTGTTAGTGGGTAGAAAGGATGGAAGAAGGGGTAGAGAAAAACCCACAAACCAGCCAAAGACAAGGGGCTAAACCTCAAGCTTCATAAACTCAAGCAAGCAAGCACTCCAGTATTGAGCTACCTCCTTAGCCTTGTCTGTAAGTTTTCTTTAACATTTATTTACTTCCTTTGTGTGTGTGTGTGTGTGTGTGTGTGTGTGTGTGTGTGTGTGTGTACATGTCACAGCTCATGTGTGGAGATCAGAGGACAACGTGTGGGAGTCAGTTAAGAACACATACTCCTCAGAGTTCAGAGTTCAAACCTCTTACCTGCCCCCGGCTTCCCACCCACATGTCAGGCAGTCTTCAACACTTGCAATCCAGCTCCAGGGTCTTCTGGTCTCTAGGACCCCGTGTGCATGCGCACACACACACACACACACACACACACACACACGTAAAGGTAATAAAGGTCTTAAAAGAAACTGTTCCAAACTAGGGAACTGCTGAGTGCTGAGTTTTGCTTTGTGAAGTAAACTATCAATTTCAAGGTAAAATCCTTTGCCAGCTGACTGTCTAGTTTTGGACTAATTGGGTCCCACATTCAGACCACTCATTAATCAGTACACGCAACGAGTCCCGGTCAGTAAAGAACATATTCCTGAATCAGACACTGGGACAGAGTGCAATGTGATGGGAAGGCCACTCGTCTGTGCAAGAGGAAGTTTGGAAGGAGTAATGTAAAATTCTGGGGTATAGGAATTGATTTATGAATAAGGAGAAAAGATCATTCAATTGCCACTGTACCAAAAACTCTCTGTGATCTGGCTTCCGGATTCATGAAGGGCCATTCCAGTGAGACAGAGGGAAGGAAGACAGAAAGCTGAGGATTTGCATAAACCCACACTGGGGACCCTAGCTGGCCACTGCTGCAGAAAACAAGCAACACTGTGCTATTCTGAGCTGAGAACAAACTCCGGCTTCTAAGAGGCGCCTGACCTGGCCATACCTGTCCTTCTGCATCTTTGATTTTTGTTTCCAGGATCAGCTTGGCTGCTTGCTGTTCCTTGTTCAAGTGCTGGAGTCCCTCGTAGGTCGTCTTATGCTCTGCAGAGAGTCTGGCTATGCTGGCGTCACACCTATCCAGGCGAAGGACACACATTCATTAAAGTTTAAAAGCATGCAAAAGTACTGCCTCACATACTATAAAATGTACTGGGAAAGGCAAGGGCTCCTCAGAAACTGTACTCCTGGGCTGTGTAGAAGGCTCAGACAGTAAAGCATGTGGAACTGTGTCTGATGATCAGAATGAATGTTAAAAAGCCAGGTGTAGGGCTGAAGAGCTGGCTCTGTAGTTAAGAGCATTTTCTGCTCTTGTAGAAGACTGGAGTTCAGTCTCAAGAACCCATGTCAGGCAGCTCACCGTTGTCAGGCAGCTCACCATTGTCAGGCAGCTCACCATTGTCAGGCAGCTCACCGTAGCCTATATATAACCCCAGCGCCAGGGATCCAATACTGCTGGCCTCAGGAGGCACCAATACTCACATGCACACCTACACATAATTAAGAATAATATACATATAACTCCAGGTGCGAAGGTGAACTCTTGGAAGCTTGGAAGCACTGGGGAGGCAGAGACAGGCAGATCTCTCGGGATCACTGGTTGCCAGTCTAGCCTAGTTGGTAAGCTCAAAGCCAGCAAGTGAGCCTGTTTTGTTTTAAAATGACTGGTGAGATGGCTCAGAGGATAGACGTACATGCAGCCAGGCCCAACAACCTGAGTTCAACCCCTGGATCCCACAAGGTGGCAGGAAAGAACCAACCCTCAATAATTGTTCTCTGACTTCCACACTGGCACCATGGTGCTTGTGTACCTGAAAACGCATGTTTTACATATGTACAAGTTTTGGGCCAGGATGGTTTGATGGGCAAAGTACTTACTGTGCAAATCTGAGGACCTAAGTTCAGTCTTCAGAACCCACATAGTGGAAGAGAGAACTGATTCCACAATGTCATGCACAGACACAGACACACACACACACACACAGAGAGAGAGAGAGTTTGGTTTAAAAAAAAATAGATGGGATGGAGAGATGGCTCAACAGTTAAGACCTCTTCCAGAGGTCATGAGTTCAATTCCCAGCAACCACATGGTGGCTCACAACCATCTGTAATAGGATCTGATGCCCTCTTCTGGCGTGTCAGTGACAATATGTTCAAATACATAAAATAAATTAATAAAAATTGTTTAAAAAATGTGAATGGCTCCAGAGAATAACACCTGAGCTTAACCTCTGGTGCATATACAACGAAAGAGAGCAAGGGACAGAAAGGGAAGGGGAGTGGAGTGGGAGAGGGGAGTGGAGTGGGAGAGGGGAGTGGAGTGGGAGAGGGGAGTGGAGTGGGAGAGGGGAGTGGGAGAGGGGAGTGAAGTGGGAGAGGGGAGTGGGCTGAGGAAGGGGAGTGGGTGGGGGGAGTGGAGTGGGAGAGGGGGTGGGCTGAGGAAGGGGAGTGGGTGGGGGAGTGGAGTGGGAGAGGGGGGTGGGCTGAGGAAGGGGAGTGGGTGGGGGAAGGGGAAAAGAAAGGAAGGAACTTAAGTGTCCCTATCCCAAAATGTTTTCAAGTATGGTGCCAAGACAGTCCAGTGAGGGGTAGACCAGACTTTTGACTTAGAACTAAGCATGCAAAAGAATGAACACGGAACCCTACCTCACACCATATATAAAAAGCTGCTTCCAGGCTGGAGATCAGTGGCCAAGAGCACTTGCAGAGAGATGGAGTTTGGTTCACAGCACCCACACAGGGCTGTGCACAACTACCTATAGCACCAACTCCAGAGGGCCTGATGCCCTTTTCTGGTCTCCATGGTCATTGTACACATATGGTACACACACACAGTACACATACATGTATACATGGGAAACACACATGGAAAATAAAAATAAATAAGTCTCTTTAAAAATGTAAAAATATAAGACCTCATAAACGAATATCTCAGCTGTATTTATAGTTTATAATTATATTTTACATATTATTTATAATTATAATATTATAATTTACGATAGATAAAAAATAGAAGCAGTACATCTGCTCACAATGTAGTGTCTCTTAGCTACAGGAAACAATGATATGCTAACAGGCCACAAACAGATGAAACCCTGAGAACACGGTGCTGAGTGTAAGAAGCTTCTCTTAAGTTTATCTGGGATGATTCCATTCACAGGAAATATCCAGAGAGGCAAATCCATAAAGAAAGAAAGAATTTTGTGATTGCCATAGACAGGGATTGAGGGAAGATGGCATTTCTTTCTGTACTGCTCAAATGTCCTGTGATTAACTACACACAGTAAATATACTAAAACCCACAGAATTGTATGCTTCAAAGTTCTATTTTTAAATATCCTCCCTCGTGTGTGTGTGTGTGTGTGTGTGTGTGTGTGTGTGTGTGTGCGCGCGCACATGCATGAACGCTGGAAGTGCCTGCAACAGAGTTCAGAAGAGGCTATCAGGTCCCCTGGAACTGGAGTAACAGGCAGTTGTGAGCCATGTGAGTTGACACGGATCCCTGGAAGCAAACTTGGATCCTTTGGAAGAGCAACAAACACTCTTAAGTGCTAAGCTATCTCTCCAGGCCCCTCCTCCAATTGTTTGCTTATGTGTAAATTACATATCATGAAATCTCTTCATAATGAACAGAAGAGAGATAGTGGAAGAGAAGGAAGGAGAGAGAGGGAGAGATAGGGGAGCTAGCATTTGAAGGTCTTCAGTGTCCTTTGTGAAGGTTCTAGTATTATCACCTTCTAATTCCCAATTCTCAGGTGTTGGGAGCTTATGCCTGGGCATATGGATATTTTTCCTCTAACTCTCTGCCGCCAGGCACACCCACACCCTCCTATCGGAGAAAAAAATGGAAATTGCCACTGAGTTTTGGGAAAATGCAGACTATGTGCCAAACACGGGAGCAAACATTCCAGTAGGAACTGGAAAGCTAATGTGAACTTTGCTTCTGGAAGAAATGAAAAAGAATCTCTGGCTAGGTCCTACATGAGGAACGCTGTGCTGAGTTGGGAGAAAGTCCCTCCAAGGAGAACCTGCCTGACCTAGACTCACAGGCGAGAAGCAAGGGTCTGCTTGCTGCTAATTATATTACTAGAAGATCCATCAAAACTACACAACCAACAGAAATTATATGCCAGCCTAGAAATTTAGTAATACAACTTTAAAAGCTATACTTCTTCAACACAATTATGCAATCAATGCACAAAAGTCAAACTCTTGCCAAAGAGCATTTTATCTCACGAGAATTGACTTCAACAGTCTCATTAGCTTTCCAAGAGAAAGACGGACATAGCCACAAAACAAACCCAAAATATCCAGTGCCAAAAACAAACACTCAAGGTGGTTTTAGAATCCAGGTGTTTGTTAACAGGGGAGGGACAAGTTGGGTGGAGAAGCTGATGGATGACGCTGAAGCGGAATGGAAGATTCCAGAAGGCATTTCAAGAGAATTCTTCTTGGTCTAGATACAATGTCAAAAAGATGACATCAGTTTTCACTGTCAGGCTGAGGTGTTGATAGCAGCCATGTGTAGCCTACTCCCTCTTTGCCTGTTGCACACCTGTGTCCTAAATCTCCACCTGCATCCACAGCAGTGTGACAATTAATTTGGGTTATCATCTTGACTGGATCCAGGCACTGGGCACACCCATGAGGGGTTTTCCTGATCAGGCAAGTAGAAGTGAGAAGACCCACACTAAACATGGGCAGTGCCTTCCCATGGCAGCCTGGAAGGGGGAAGGGGTCTGAGAGGAACCTGGGTTGTGTGCCTCCTTGCCTTTGAGCCTCACTAACAGGGTCATCTTGCTGATAATGCTACCCTCCCCACTGATATCAGACTCAGGTTTCTTCTGGCTTCTAAGGTGGACTAAAGCTCCCTGGCTCTCTGGGAATCCTCCAGGCCCTCAGCAGCAGAGTTGGGCTGCTGAGGCATCCGGCTAAGCAGCTTCCAGGTCCTCAGCCTTTCCAGCATGGAGATAGTATCTGACTGCCAGACTATCTGCATAGACCAATATAATCATTACACACGTAGACACACACACACACCACTGTTGGTTCTGCTGCTCTAGAACAGTGATTCTCAGCCTGCGGGTCAACACTCCTTTGGAGTCAAATGACTCCTTTACAGGGATCATCTAAGATGATCAGAAAACACAAATATTCACATTACGATTCATAACAGTAGCAGAACTACAGTTATGAAGTAGCAATGGAAATACTTTGATGGTTGGGGTCAGCACATCACGAGGGACTGCATTAAAGAGCTGCAGCATTAGGATGGCTGAGAGCCACTGCTGTAGAGAAAGACCCCCAACAAACAGTGGCCATGAAAATCCTCAGCTGACTCCTCAAGTCCCTGCTCCACCTTGTGGTCTCAAGTCCTTCCAGGCCCCCCCAACCTGTTCTCTGAGCTTTGGGGTTTTTAAAAGCCAAACAAGAACTCAAGATTTTCCAGTCCTGCCCCAGTGACTTTTCTCGAAGGGCCATTCATCCAAAGATGTGTTTGTTGAGTATCTACTGTTTCAACAGGCTCCAGGCTCTTGGCTACAGAAGTAAATGACACAGAGCCCCACTCTAGACAATAGAATGACTGGATGGAGCTTAAGGCGGGGGCAAGGGGAGACTCTGCAGAGCAGAGTGTGTGGGGGGGGTGTGGGTGTGGGTGTAAATGCTTGCAGAGGAAAAGACATTTGTACGACCCTTTAAAGGTGGACAAGAAGTTGGAAGAGGAAGTGGAAAGGTCCTCAGTGGGAGCCCAGCATGTGCCAAGGCCCTGTGGTAAAAGAACTGGCTTCTGTGGAGATTAACAAAGGTCGGGGTATGACCAAAGGGGCAAGACAACAGTAGGGAGAGCTGAGGAGATCAGGCAATATCCACAGCACAGGGTCAGACTATGGAGACTGGAAGGGGTCCATCCTGCTAAGAACAGCAAATGACAGACCAGACATGGTGGAACACACCTGCAATCCCAGCTCTCAGGAGACAGGCAGGACAAGATGGTGCAAGGTCTGCAAGAGCTACGGAGTGAGACTCTGTTTCAATTCCAAAGAAATAATAACAAAGGGAAGGGACTGGAGAGGTGGTCCAGAGGACAAGAGTGCTCACTGCTCTTACAGAGCACTAGGTTCAATCCCCAGCTCAGGGTAGCTTCTAACCTCCTATAACTCCAGTTCCAGAGGATAGGATGTCTTCTTCTCTCGTCCATAAACTCCTGCATACACATGATGCATATACACACTCCAGCACACACGTGCATTAAATCAAAACAAAACAGAACAGGACAACACACCAGCAAGAAACAGAGAGGAGTCACTCCACCCTTCATTCAACACTTAGACCCTCCTCCAGCTGCTAACTGTTCCTTATTCTTCAGCTGCCAACATGCATTCCCAGCATACAAGGGACTAGGTGTAGTAATATGTATAGTAAAACCGCTATATCTGGCTTTAAGGGAAAGGTACAGTAAGCCTTTGTGTCTGGCTTTGAGTGCAATGTTTCAGCAAAGCTTTTGCTATGTTTGGGTCAATCAGTAGAAGCTGAGAAATTGTTTTGAGGCTGTGTGAACCTTGAAAAAATGTTGTCTCTCTAGAGAATCTGTAGTCGGTGCTACGTAAGAACTTGCAGCTGCATCAACCTTGGTCCTAAGACACTCCTGGCAAACCAGGAATTCTTACTTTTGATTATGGCTAGCCATGGTCAAAAGGGACTGAGATTTGTGTGGGCTGTCTGCTCTCAAAGGCAGCAAGGGCAAGGTAACTTTGGTAGCTGGAACCTTTCCCAGCCCTGATTAACCTTGTATGATGTTTGAATAAAGTAACAAGTGAGCTAGCTGGATATCAGTCTTTTCCAAGAAGGCTGAACCCCTCTGCTCCTTTGGGAAATGAAGTCTTAGCATCTTGGTGAGGTTCTTTCTCTACTACGGCACCTACTGACATCAATCAATAACTAGGTGTGGTTTCATCACAAATACACCAGGCCATGGCTCTCTCTGCTGCCTTAATGGTGTCTGGTCTCTGTTGGTCTCTGTTCTTAATCTTATCTCACCGAGCTCATTGTCATCCCAAGCTGGCTGAAAGTGCTTCTTTGCATGACCAAATAATGTCCACCAGCAGAGGGCACTCTCTGATCGTTTTCTCCCTTGAAGACTCAGCCAGTTTCAGAAACGAAAGAAATTATGGTAGGCAGATATCCAGGGTTGAAGTCTGCCACTAGCTTCTATGGTCAAAGCTGGAAGGTGTGTAGTAAAAGAACTTCATGGAGCTTCTTAACTAGATTGGAGTTCATAAAAGGCTTGGGCATTGATGGTGGTGGTGGTGTGTATATGTGTAAAGGACAGCATCATAGAGTTGGTGCCCTCCTTCCACCTCAGGTCAGCAAACTTCCACAGGGAGCACTTTACTTCCTGAGCATCTCAAAGCCAAATAAAAACTGCTCTCAAGGAGTAAAGTCTCCAACATTTGAACACCTGTTGTGCTGGGTAATCTTCCTGGCCAGCTTGACTGAATTCAGAATCACCTAGGAGACCTCTGGCTTGGCTGTGAGGGTGTTCCCAGAGAAGCGAAACTGAAGAGGGAAAGCCTGCACTGACTGTGGGCAAGGCTGCCTCAGGGGCTGGAGAAACCAAGCATAATCCATCTCCCTGTGCTGTGACTGTGAACCCCATGAGAACAGTCACGTCATGCTCAGTCACATGTCTTCTCCACCTGGTGGACTGTAGCCTCCAACTGGGAGCCAAAATAACCCTTCCTTCCTAAAGATGCGTCTGTGGGACATTTTGAGGGCTGTTGCTGGTACACCTACCTTGCAACTCTTCCTCGGAGATCTCCCAAGCCAGAGAGCTGGCGCATCTCCAGTGTCTTTAAGGCAGAATTAGTTCCATAGCTGATGTTGTCCCTGGCACGGATCTGCTCCTGGAGAACCTAGGCAACACAAAGGACACTCGGGGTCACTGCCAAATTCACAGGTGTCCAAGGACACTTGGGGTCCCTGCCAAATTCACAGGTGTCCATTTCATAATTCAGGAAAGTATATGAATGCTCGATTCATTTTTTCCCATAAGAATTTTTTGTTTGTTTGTTTGTTTGTTTGTTTAAAACTTGTCCAGAACTTGCTGTGTAGATCAGGCTAGCCTTGCACTCATGGATATCTGTCTACATAAGGAGCTCTTTTTATCAGTGACTGATGAATCCAGAAGCAGAGAACCAGAAAGCCCAGAAAAAGGCACCACTCCCAACTGAGAGTCCTCTAATTCACCAATAAAACTATGTTCTTTTAATTTTTTTATTGTCTTTCCTTAGTATGGAAGTGATTTTATTTTCAGGACAATATCTGGTATGCCATAAGCTGAGTGTAGATGTGTTTATTTGTCTTTTGAGACAGTAGCTTCCTGGTGTGACAAAGATTGGCCTCCAATTTCCCTCCTGCCTGGGCCACCTCCAGTGTGAGGATCTCAGGGATAAGCCACCATGGCCAGCTCCTGTGACTTTATTTTACACAGTTTTCATTTTGGTTTGAATTTCTCTTTGATTTAAGGATGCCTGAATATCTAAAGACGTCAGAATTAATTAGAGTTGGCCGGCACAGTGGCACAAGTATGTAATCCCAACACTCAGGAGGATTTTGAATTTGAGGCTAGCCAAGGCTACATCACAAGAAGTCTCAAAAAAAAATTTTTTTTTTGCTTTTAAAATTGCTTTATTAATTTCAAATTATGAAAAAGATTGCCGGGCAGTGGTGGCACACGCCTTTAATCCCAGCACTTGGGAGGCAGAGGCAGGTGGATTTCCGAGTTTGAGAGTTCGAGGCTAACCTGGTCTACAGAGTGAGTTCCAGGACAGCCAGGGCTACACAGAGAAACCCTGTCTTGAAAAAACCAAAAAAAAAGAAAAGAAAAGAAAGGAAAGAAAAAAAGAAAAGAAAAAGATTTTTTTTCTAAAATAGGTTAAATTGCCATGCTGACAGGAATGTTTAGAATGAAATGCAACAATTAAACAATGTTTAGTAGAAACAGTTAAGTGGAAACACCAAAAATTTACAGAAAAAAAATACCCCACTAGATACAAGCTTGTAAAACAGTAGCCATTTTATGAGCTCAGAGAAAATCTTAGATTTCAAGGTATAAGGCAAAAGTCGTAATGATTGTCAGGTTCCGGTGTTAGGAACCACATGTAAGGCCTTGTCTGCTGCTTACTCTTTTTCTTGGCTTTCACCCCCACCCACCCACCCCCGCTCTACAAATCTCCCAACATCCTCTCCCCTTTCATTGTGATCAACATGTCTATTAGGTATAGCACATAGAAAATTACACACAAATTGTCTGACTTTCCTTCTGACAGCTCCCCCAGGCTTCTTGTTTTCAACCTTTTCCAGAAGGTGGGATTCTTCACTTTGCCTGGAGGCCTTCCCGCCTTTGTCTTTCTTGAAATCCAGTATGACTTGTTTGATTTTGGACGCCATTACTCCTGGACGGATCCTTGCCTTCTCTTCCTAGAGATGCTCACCACCAGGTGCAAGCTTCTACTTCTCAGACCGGCTCCTCTCTTCCTCCTCCTGCTGCTTTCCCCAGGCACTGTGCAGGCCACCAGGAGTGTGCCTGACACCATGAGCTGCACCACCAGGAACAGGTGGCCTCAGTTAGGGATGGTGGAGGTCTGTAGTTCAACTAACCCAACAATGGGCAGCTGTGGATGTAAAGTCCAAGAATCTGGTAGTTACTCTGTCCCACGATGCTAGTTGTTTCAGCTGGTCTCCTGTAGATTCCAGCAGACATGCTGGCAAGTAAATGCAATCGGGGCTCAAAAAAAAAAATTAAATTGTGTTTTTTTACTTCAAGCTGTTAAGATTTTGTTCTTTTTTTTTTTTTTTACATTTTTATTACATTTTATTTAGATAGGGGCAGGGTGTTAGAGACCAACTTTCAGGAGTCAGTTCTCTTGCTCCTGGGAATCAGACTGAAGTTTTTAGGAGTGGCAGCAAATGCCTTTTCCTGCTGGTACGTCTCACTGGCTCTGTCTTTGTTAATTAATCCTCACTGTGCCGGCTTATGATAAAGTCGGTAAGACATTTCATGTTTCCAACATGCTAAGTTTTGCTTCATGGCCCATGGCCGAGTTTTCGAATTTTTACTTATGTGTGTGTGTGAGCCTCATGTATGTGGGTAGCCATGAAATCCAGAAGAGGGTGTCTGATGCTCTGGAACTAGAGTTACGGGTAATTGGGATCATACTGAGGTGGGTGATAGGAACCGAATCAAGCTGGACCACCGAACCATCTTTCCAGCATCGATGACCCTACTCTCCTTCTAAAAACGCATTTCAACCTGGAGCTTGGTGAACTTTTCGAACTCTTTTCTTCAACTCATGGGTAACTCCCCAGTGTAACTAGTATTGCCTCTCTCCTTTTGCCCCCTCCCGCTGGAGCTCTGGCCATTCTCGCGCTGGTCTGGCTTTGCCCTTCCTGAAAGCTCCACTCTGATTTTGACGGTCAACTCTCCGAAGTTTCTTCCACTTTCCTGGGACCCACAAAACTCTAAATTCAAGGCAGCAGTTTTAGGCTGTGCTCAGGGGTCCTAAATATGCAAATTGATCTTTTATTCCTGGTCCACTGGTTCCCTCTGCTGGGAGCCGTGGCTTTTCCTCTTATGGCTGCTGGGTCCTCGGATGGGTGAAGCTTTTCTTTGTGGCTCACTGACATGCTCGGTGGGTGTTTCTGACAAGAGTGGAAGCGTCAGTGGGCTGGAGGTACAGCCGGTGAGGGAGCTGTGCCAATCGTGGCCAAAGACCAAGAGGAAGAGTGGGCCTCCACAATGTCTCCTCGTCTCCTTAGTGAGGAAGGCGATGAGCCTGCTCCTCCTCCTCAGATTCCTAAGGCCTCACTCTGCCTTCCTGGCTGGAGGCATTCCTGGCACTGCCAGACCCTCTTGTCTGTGCAGCCCAGGTGCAAAGAAGGGGGATGCAAGGACGGGGGCTAGTGAGGAGGCAGGCATCAAGTGACCAGTGTCCCTTTCCTCCAGCACCCACACAGAGAACTGTTTCCCTGCTTTTGCTCAGCTTGGTGACACTTAAATTTTATTTTATTGCCACTGAAGATGGAATTTGCAATTGCCAGACTTACTATTTCCTATGGCTCCCAATTTTTGAATGAATGAACCTGCTCTCTGAAGAAGAACACAGACTAGCTACAATCACCTATGAATGGCAAATGTTACTCATCTGAGCACATTCCTGCAAGGAGACCTCAAATCTGACTAATTCATCTCTGGCATTCTCCCACTGATAAAAGGCGCTGGCGGAGCTCTCTCTCTCTCTCTCTCTCTCTCTCTCTCTCTCTCTCTCTCTCTCTCTCTCTCTCTCTCTCTCAGCTCAATGGGCACAATGGGAACTACACCTAATAGAAGCAGCAAATAGGAAGAAACCCTCATGCTTTCTGTTTGGGCTTCTTCACATTTTGTTGATAATAAGGCACAAGGTCACAGTGCTCAAATGCCTTTGGGAAACACACATGTCACCCTGAAACCCTGTTCCATATGCAGAGACTCAGGTTCTGTCCCCAGAAAGCCAATGCTAGGGAGTAGGCCTGAAGATAGATGTGAAAGAGACACGGCCCTCTCCCAGGGTACCACTGCATTGGATGCTAGGAGAGCCAGGCTTTGCTTTGGCTTTCAATCCTTGAGTAAAGAAGATGGAAAGGAATTCACAAAAGAGTTGCTTAAAATAATTATCACCATTCACCTTTCTAGAAGCCAGAGAGACAGAGACCGTACAGTGGGGGCTGGGGATGCAGTCCAGTTGCTAGTGTGCTTGTGGAGTACTGCATAGCCTTGTGTTCTATCCGAGCGGAGTGAGCCTGACATGGCAGACACATCTGTAGTCATCTGGCCTGAAGGAAGGAGGATAAAGAGTTCTGGGTCTTTTTTGGCTACCATACTTGTTAAGATCCAGAACCATTCTGAGGTAGAACGCTGATAGGGGACATGGTTGAAGGGCTGTGGCTCGGGGGGAGCTGTGGGACAGGGTGATGATGTATGCATGTATGCATGCATGTGTGTATGCATGTATGTATGCATGCATGTATGTATGTATGCATGCATGTATGTGTGTATGCATGTATGTATGCATGCATGTATGTATGTATGCATGCATGTATGTGTGTATGCATGTATGTATACATGTATGTATGTATGCATGTATGTGTGTATGCATATGTGTATGTATGTATGTATGTATGTATACATAAAGGCACAGGCAGAATGGATGCTGTCTCTTCTGTTGTGCTGTGGGCCTAACATAGCTAAATAAATAAATTTTGTTTTATTGTCTGTTTGTTTTGCTATACTAGAGACTGAACACAGAGCTTTATGTATAGTACTTATGCATATACTCAGCCCAAGGTCTACTAAAAAAATTGTGTTTATTTATTATGGCTCAGTTGGTCACTGCTTCCCATGAAAGGAAGCTATCTCAAGCTTGATCTGCAGTACCCACGTAAAAGCCAGGCGTGTTCGCACAAGCTGTGATCCCAACACTGGAAAGGCAGAAACAGGAGGATCTGACCCTGTCTCCAAACTATGATAGGGATGGGTTCAGGAAGACATTCCATGTCAACCTCTGACTTCTACATACATACTACAAACACATGCATGAACATATAGACACATACATACACTTAAAAAATAAACTAAAAATAAAGTATTTTAATTGTAATTCCCAAAGTACAATGAGGTAGCCAAAATGTATCCCTATCATTCAAATTTTTGACCAAGTAATTCTACATCTTAGAATTAGCCTTAGAAGAAAAAAAATAAGAAAAATGGTAGAAGTGTCAGCATAAAAATGTTTTCCTATGTGATTCCCACACCAACTATTTCAGTTTTACAACCCTCACATCTTTATGCAAACGAGGAGGTTTGTGAGGGGTGTTC